AGGGACTCACTTCCTCTGCCCGGAGCCGCTAGCCTTCGCCCGACCATGCTCATCTGTCCGCTGGAGCCGGTGTGGGTGCCAGCCCGTCCCGGGCAGGGCAGTCCCTGTGGGCGTGGACAGGTGGTGACCACTGGCTGTGCCCTCAGGGTGATGCGGGCGGCCGAGGAGACCACGTCCAACAACGTCTTCCCCTTCAAGATCATCCACATCAGCAAGAAGCACCGCACCTGGTTCTTCTCAGCTTCCTCAGAGGACGAGCGCAAGGTGCCGGGCCTGGGGGCGGGATTAGCCATGGGCAGCGGCAGGGGCCGCCTTAGTGCCCGTCCTCACTCCCTGCGACCAGCACCACATGCCGGGATCTGCCCTCAGGAGGAGCCCAGCATGGGCTGAGGGGCCTCCCCGACCTTGGTGGGCACAGCAGGGCCTGAGGGAGGCGGGCCGTGCCCTGGGCAGCACATGCCCACTGGCCCCGCTGCCCCACAGAGCTGGATGGCCTTGCTGCGCAGGGAGATCGGACACCTCCACGAGAAGAAGGACCTGCCGCTGGACGCCAGGTGGGCCCGGCTCCACCCCGTGCCCACTCCCCGCCCCCACGTCTGTCATCCCGTGTACGCGTGCACCTGAGTATGTGCGCATGTGTGTGTGCCCGTTGGTAGTTCCTCCTTGGGGGTCACATGCTCTCAGCTGCCCACTGGAGGCCCGGCATTGGCAGCAGCCAGAGCTTTGGGCGCTGCCCCTCGTGTCCGCCCCGGCCGCCTCCGGAGTGAGTCCCTGGGACACCACTCAGTCCTCCTGGGTCTCGGCGACCTCACCGAGGCGGGCCAGCAGCAGGAGCTCTTGGGCAGAACAGACCCCTCCGTCCTTTCATAGATGAGGCCACTGGGGCCCAGAGGAGGCCCGGCACCCCCAGGGCCACCTTGCAGGTCCCTGCCTGCCCTGGAGCTCCAGCCCCCAGCTCCAGCCAGGGTCCTGTGGTAGTCCTGGTGCCCTGCAATAGGCCCGGTGCCCTGCGGTAGGTGCCCTGCAGTAGGTGCCCTGCAGTAGGCCGGCCTAGAGACGACAGCCTCCAGGGCAGGAGCAGGGGGGACGGGGCCCTGAGGCGGGGCAGCATCTGGCCACTCGGGGCCACACTTGTGGCAGAAACCATGGGGTGTGGGAGGCAGCACAGCCTCGTCTCCGTGCTGGTCCTTGTGCCTCTATGGAGCGTGTCTGTGTGTCTGCGTGCCTGTCTGTCCTCATTTGTGTTCATCTGTGTTCTAGGTCTGTGTCCTGTGTCTGTGTCCTGTGTTTATCTGTGCATACGCCCACATCAGTGTGTGGTGTGTGCACGTGCCTGTGTTTGTCGTGTCTGTGTGTCCACATGTTTGCGGTGTGTCTGTCTGTGAGTGCAGGGAACGCTGCCCTGTGCTCACTGCCACCCTTCCTCCCCCCGACCCCAGCGACTCCAGCTCGGACACAGACAGTTTCTACGGTGCCATCGAGCGGCCTGTGGACATCAGCCTCTCTCCATACCCCACGGACAACGAAGGTGAGGGCGTCTCGGCGTGCTCCCCCGTCCTGCTCCACACCCGGACCTGGCTGCTGCCTGCTCTGTCCCTGTGGCTCCCCAGCCCGCCCGGCCTGCCCTCAGCCCTGCCCAGGCCTCCCTGACAGCAG